TAAGTGGTGTGCGTTGGGTGTTTAGCCATAAAACATCTCTACTTAGTTCCAACCAGAAGTGCAGAAGAATTAGAAAAAAATGAGTTACAAGACAGCAAAGAGCTACAGATATGGCCCGAGGTGGGACCTGCAATGGAATATGATCAAGTAGGTGAGAGGTTCTAGAAAAGACAGAAGATGGAGCGTGGAGACTCTGTTTTATGACATGATGACATGAATGATACCATTCCTTTATTTGACACCAAGCATGTAATTTCTTTATCTTACCTATCTCAGGTGAATATCTATATATTTACACACACACACACATACACACACACACTCACATATATATATATATATATATGCATATGTATCTGATGGAGATATTGGGTTCTTCAGAAAGTTATGACACATTTTTACATAGGAAAAATAATCCCAGAAAAGTATGTCATGACTTTCTGGACAATCTATTAGGTAATATATTATAATGCACACATTAAGCCTAAGTTTAAAATAGGAATTTCAAGCCTGTCCAGGTTGAATGATTTGACTAAAGTCACAAAGGTAACAAGTCAGTGATAGTGTACAGATTTGGACCTATGTCTGCTTCAGACCGAATTGCAATTTAATATCTTAAACTTTCTATCATTCTTGTCATTTTCTTAAAATTTAAAAAAAAAATCATGGATTGCTGACAATGGATGAGGACTATTAAATCATTTTCTTTAAAGGAAAAAAGTAAAAAAAAAATAATTGATAAGGACACATATGTGGAAAATGGGCAGTGAAGTTAATTTTAGCACAATCATGTTTAGTTTCTTTTCCTATTTTTTACATTCAATCACTGCCTATTTTTACAACATATAAAATGAAATTTTTCAGCATGAATACACAGTATGCTAGTCCAGTCATAGAAAATTACCATATACATTGTCATCAACAGATAGTTTTCACATATACTTGTCTATAGATTTGTATAGCTATAGATGTTTAACACATTTAATAAAATATATTGAGTTGTGAAAAGGTAATTGAGAGGTTGTGATAAGAAATATATTCTATGAACTACAAATAGATTATTTGAGGTAACTGAAGAAAATAAATGTTTAAGAGATAGTAAAATATTTTTGTTTTTAAAACTGTTCAATTAGTTATGCAAAAGAAATATCCTGCTTTAAACTGCATGTTATTAATGAATTATTTCTGGGATGTTTTGTGGTGTATAACATTCAGTGCATTTTATGAATAAAATGCATCTAAAGCTAGAGAAGAGAAATCAGATGAAAAGCCTTGTACAACCCTTTACTCTGTTCTCACGGGACCAGATAAAATTGCCAATGTGTTCCTTTCATAACGACAATCAAAAATAAAAAGAATACACTTAAGAGTCTGAGGTCATTTTTTTAATTACTGCATTAATTGATAAGTAATTATGGTAAGAAAAAGAGAACAAGTAACATAATTAAAATATCGACATGTGTTATAGAATTACCTAATGGTCAACCACTCAGAGATGATCGTTGTTAACATTTTGTTTATAGTAGAGTTCCAGTTTACTTCACAGATACAGAGAGACTTTATAAACCATTATAAATGGAGCTCTAAGTTAAATCCTACTTGCTTTTTTTAAATTCTCACTGAATACATATTTATGTCATTACTTATTCTTACAAATTAATCTGTGTCAATTGGGCATTTAGGGTGTTTTTACTCTAATTAAAATATTAGCATGGTATAATGCATGAGCTCATCAAGGGGGATGGATTCCTGTTTTCCAATAGCCTTTGGAAAAGGTCCAGGTCCTTGCCGATTTCCACCAGGGCAGTTGCTGCATGGATGTCAACAGGACATATCTGTTCTCCAGGGTAAAGGCAAGAAAGGAGGTCCAAAGGCTGATTTTAACTTTGAGGTGCAATAAAATATGAGACTGCTGATCCTAGGAACTTCTGCTGATATCGTTGGGGCAAATGGATAAGGAATAGAGAGGGTCCAGGAAGAGGAGTTCTTTTCATCAAGTGATTCTTTTTCCTCCTATCATATTTCTGCCTAAGCTAAAAAACAAGATGCCCAGGTGGATTATTATCTAAGATGAACATACCAGAATAAAATAAAAGGGAAGAATCTTTTTTTTAATTAAGTTTAGAAATCTCCTTCTTACACCAATTTTACAGGGGATAGTTATTGATTTGTAACATAAAAATAACAAAAATTACACTCCTACAACTAAAAGATATAAATAATAAAGAAAAAATAATGATTAACAAGATAGGTAAGGGTCTTCTTTTTATAAAAATTTGAGCATAAGCCAAGTACAAGGTTTTTTTAATAGGATATTTTTATATCCTTTTTTACTATTATTAATACATTCAATTATTATACATCATTTAGACTGTAAAGATATTGTACTCAACATGATATACGCCACACAGCAGGTGAGTTGAGAATATTATACTTGAGATCATCAATAGTCAACAAACCATATATATGTCCCACAAATGTCTTACATCTCCATCTTTTCCCCAATTTCTCTACCTACACTCTTCCCCTCTCCCACTATCCTTCCACTTTGTCCCCACTGTTCATAACAATTTTCTATGTGTTTATGTCCTCCAGTCTTTCAGTCTCTACCATAGAGTGTAGACAGTTGGTTTATGTTGAGACATACAATGACTCTGTTTCATGGCCTGACTTGCTTCACTCAGCAATAAATCTTCCATATTCATCCACTTTCTTTCAAGACATGTTTTATTTATTCTCATTTATTTACTTATTACTCATTGACTTCTGCATGTTATGACAGACAATTATTGGGTGATATTAGTACATAGGAATGACAAAAACCAGGTGGGTGCAATTCTATAAAATTCCCTCTGGCAGAGCAACTGTATTTATTAAGCCCACTTTTTATTAGATTGGAAACTTAATGAGATTTGTCAATTCTACAAAAAGAGTGTTTTCTATAACCCATGATATCTTGCTGAGAGATATTCATGAACAGAGAAGACATGTACAAAAGGACTCTGAAAAGCAACACAATGAACCTATTTCTACTCCTCCTTAGTTTAGAATTGAGACTAAGAAAGCAATTCTTGCTCATTACACCCAATTTAAGCACAGTGATAAATAAATCATGGAAAATTCATTGAAGATTGTATTGGTGAGACTACAGGAAACTATGTCAAAATATGTGAACTTTAATCATTGAATGTTTTTAAATGGGAAACAGGGTTTTATCCAGAAGACAATCTAACGCTGACAGCTTTTTTCAGAGCACCTTTTACATCCTTGTTCCTTAAGCTATAAATTAGTGGGTTTAGCATAGGGATGACAACAGTATAAAAAACAGAGGCCATTTTGTCTGTGTCCATCGAGTAACTTGAGCTGGGTCGGAAGTACATGAACAGGAGTGTGCCATGAAAGATGGCTACAGCCATTAAGTGGGAGGCACATGTGGAGAAGGCTTTGTGTCTGCCCTCTGCTGAGTTCATTGTAAGGATGGTAGTTATGATGTAGCTGTAAGAGAGAAGAACCGTGGCAATGCTGCACCCTACAACACAGCCAATGAAAGTGAACATCACTATCTCATTGATGGATGTATCTGAGCAAGAGAGAGCCAGCAAGGGTGGGATGTCACAGAAAAAGTGATTGATGACATTGGAATTGCAGAATGATAATCGAAATGTGCAGCAGGTGTGGATTGCAGAATCCACCAAGCCTATAAAATAGGCAACAGCCACTAGCTGGCTACAAAGTCTCCTGGACATAGTAATGGTATAAAGAAGTGGATTGCAGATGGCTACATAACGATCATAGGCCATGATAGCCAACATGAGACATTCCACATCTGCAAAGGCTCCAAACAGGTACATCTGAATGGCACATAAATCATATGGAATCCTCTTTTCCTTCGATAAAAAATCAGTCAACATTTTGGGAGATACAGTGGAAGAATAGCAGATATCACAGAAAGACAGATTGCTCAAGAAATAATACATGGGTGTGTGAAGTCTAGTGTCCATTTTGATCAGCAGGACCATCCCTAGATTGGCAATCACGGTTAGACCATAAACCAGGAGGAAGAGTGCAAAGAGCCCGTACTGCACATCCTGTCTGTCAGAAAGTCCTAATAACACAAAGTCTGTGAACACAGTCCAGTTCTCAACAGGCATCTCTCAGATCTGGAAATCTCTGGCTGTGAAAGAAGAAAATAGAAGCAGAGGTTAGCATTATCTATGTTAATAATTAAATATCTTATTTGAAGCAAAATGAGAAATAGTGATTGACTGTTTTAAAAATAATTAGAATAATAATAATAATAATTGAGAAAATCATAGAAAAGATATTGAATGTATTTAGTAATTTTCAAAAGTCATAATTGTTCAAAAGCAACTGCTGCTACCTAAAACGTGCCTAATTTGGGATCAGCAGAAAGCTTAGTGGTTATGCTCCTGGACTCCTACATGACTTACCATGGTTGGCATCCCAGACCTGGTGGTTTGAAACTCATCCTGGGTGTATGTGTGTGCAGCCCAAGATTCCAGGAGGAGAATGGAGGAGAACAGATTGCGATGTGGCCATCTCTCCGGGAGGTGGTTTCTCACTTTCCCTGTCATTGTCTCTGTCTCTCTCTCCAGCAAGTGCACACACCCAAAGGTAAAAACCTCTAAAAAATAATAGGCACATGCCCAAAGGTAAAAACCTCTAAAAAATAATGATAAAATAAACGAAATGTACATGATTTAACTTAAATAAAACTGATTATGGTAATAATATTTCTTACAATTAAAAAACATTTTACAGAAGTTGCAGCACAGTTTCATCCAAATTAAATCATACTATTTCCATACAACCTACACAGAACTTACAATGGCTTTTGCAGTTCTATCTTACAGATTTCAAAAATAGATGTAGAAAGGCATAATAAAGTGAGAAGTGTAGGTCATTACTATAACCCATTATTTTCCCCTCACCATTCAGAATCATGGAGCAGCAGAGCTGTGGTGGGTTTCTAGATGTAATATTCCTCCACTTCCCCATTAACCCTCAGGTCTCATCCAGCTTTGGTACACAAGCCTGCATTCCATCGTCACCAGCACTGAGATAGTCTATGGTTCAGCATCCACTGAAGCAGTGATCATTGCTTCAGAAGTGGTTGGAAGGGTCTCCATGACCAAGAAATCAAAGTGGACAGACAAGAATATGCCAGAGTTAACATGCCCCCCCTCAGAAAGTTGCTGTTGCTTAGGGGAGATGAGAACATTTTCTTTTTTAAAATTTATTTATTGGGTTGTAGGAAAAGTCATGATATATTTTCTATGTTTTTCCATGCAGAAATGCATCATGACTTTTCCAACAGCGCAATATTTTATGATTTCTTATGTCCATTTATTGTACATCTCCGCAGTGCACTACATGGTTCTTCAAAGTATTTTTGCAGTGGCAATTGAGCCAAGGATAGTACCATCTATATAATTTTCAGCAGAGAACTTTATATTTTAGAGTCTGCTAAGTGTTTCTTCCCTGAACTTCTCCCAACCTACTAGTCCTATGTTGGTTGTTGACAGCACAAGTGACAGAGAGGCAAGAAAAAGAGTGTGGTTTAATGTGTGCCCCTCTCTAACCTAATCAACTAGAATCCATTCACCAATCAGATGGGCAAGGTACATGATAAAAATGCCCATGTCCACAAGCCTGCTACCTCGAAGAGATCTGTTTCTGAACTCATACCAGTTCCCTACAAATTGAATTGTAATAGTTTTTTTAATTTTATTTTTTATATATACTTCTGAAATACACTGGTCTTTCATTACAAAACTCAGTGATCCTTGAGGTCAATTGATTTCTAGGTCTCACTGTTATATTTTATCCAAATCAATTATATCTTATATAATATACCCATCCCTCTTGATTCTGCAGTGAAAGAAGAAAATTGGAGTTGAAGGTAGATGAAGAACAGAAAAAGGATGACATCTGAATAATGGTATAATGATCAGGGTGCAAATTCCAAACCTTGGGGTAAAAATATTCAAATATCTATCCATATAGACACACCTTTAGAAATAATTATTTCCTTTGTAAGAACTTATTAAAATATGTAAAATATAGGTAAGAGTTTAAAAAATGATAACTAACATCTGACTACCTCTATGACCCATACTAACATTTTATTGCATTTTTCAGCTATGCGTGTGCCATTAAAATAATAAATAATTTTATTTAATTAAAATAAATGTCTGAATTATATTTCATAATATCCTTTAAATTTATAGCATGCTTTTAGTAGATAAGATAGAAGAACCAATGAAGTATGTTATTCAATCAGAAAAACAAATGAACAAAAGAATATTAGTACCTGACCTGGACTGCTGATTCTATTAGATCCAGTTCTGTCTGCAGGATAGTTCAACATTATCCACTGACTGACTTAGATTATATAACCATCTCTCTGCATGGTCCCTGAGGGTGGAAACCTTGGTCTCTTAGGAATAAGGGAATATTTAACACTCAATGTTTCAGAAATGTAGGGTGACTGAGAAGAAAATATGAATCTTTTTCAAAAATATTCTTTTGTTTCTATCTAGCTTAATGCCAAATATTATAACCTAATTAGCAATAATAAAATGACTCTGGTCAATCAGCATTTATATTTCCAGTTCAGTCTCTACAGAGGCATTGCATTTTAACTGCATAATGTACAAAACAAATGGACAATCCCCCCTTCACGTACTTAGACATACACATATTAGCATTCTTCTTTAAATATATTCACAAAATAAAAGTTTTAGTAAAGGCAGCAAAACTAATCATAATCACACTGCCAAAAGATAGCCAGGTTTGGGAACCAGCAGTTAGTGTAATGGCTATGTCGCTGGACTCCCACATAGTCGACCGCAGTTCACGTCCTGGACCTGGTAGCTTAAAACTCACGCTGGGCGCGTGTGTGTGCGTGCCCAAGATCCCGAGAGGAGAATGGAGGAGAAGGGATTGCGGCATGGACATCCCCCCCTGGGGAGTGATTTCTCGCTTTCTGTCTCTATGTCTCTTTCTGTCTGGCGAGCACACGCACCCTATAGCAAAAACCTCTCCAAAAAAAATAAAATAAAATAAAAGATAGCCAGGTTTTATTTTCTAGATAGAAGTGTCAGAATTCTAATTTATCTTTTTTAAAATAATTATTTATTTACTAGTATTATCTTTTAATTTTACCAGAAAGGTACAGAAAGAGAAAGAGAAAGGGAAAGTGAAAAAACAAGGACTCAAATTGCGGTCCCATATGGGAGTCCAGTGCCTTAACCACCATGCCACCTGCCAGCCCTCAGAATTCTAATTTTGCACCAAAAATGATGTCAGAAAAAAACGCACTTTATATGTACATAAATACTATTATTTGAGATAATGCATTTATTTCTATTGATGTACATTATTTAGTTTATCCAATATCATTTAAAAACAAGGAAGTTTGATCTTAAATTAGGGCAGTTTTGGCCTTCTTATCATAATCATGTCTTTTATATTATCTAATTATTACCACATAGTGTTATAAATTGTCTTGTATGTTCTGAATTTTCTCTAGCAAACTCATCATATGATGCTGAAACCCAGAGTCGACATACAAACTTCTTGAGTTTCATAGACATTAAGTTTTTTCAAATCCATAGGAATTGTTCACAGTAGATTCCTAAATAAAATGTAATAAGACAGATTTGTCTTTAAAAAGACTTTCTTGGGCCAGCAGATGGCATAATGGTTATGTCACTGGATTCCCACATAGTCTACGACAATTCAAATCTTAGACCCAGTGGCTTAAAACTCATGCTGGGTGGGTGCATATGTGTACCCAAAATCCCGAGAGGAGAAGAGATTGTGGCATGGCCATACCCCCAGGGAGGATTTCTTGTTTCCTGTATCTCTGTCTTTCTGGCAAGCCCACATGTCCTATAGCAAAAATCTCTGAAAAAAAAAAAATCTCTTAAATAAAATCATAGGATGTTATAGTGTGTTTATGTTAAAGTGATGTTTGAAAATTTACAAAATTAGTGAGTCATAGACTCCTCTGAGGTCATTCAAGTCCCACTTCTACTTACAAACAGTGACTGAGAACAGAAAGGAAAAAGTGGGAAGGGTGGCCACATTGGGAGCTACTTGTTTTCCTTAGGTCTCCTAGACACTTGAACGTTGCTAATTTTGCTGTTAATGGAAAGTGATAAGGAGGACCATTGCATTACACAATTTTAGGAAGTAGATAAAAAATAAAATAGTGCCCCTGAAAGATGTCAACCTTGGGGTATTCCTCCCATTAGCCACCTACTGAGGGATATTTTATAATGTATACTTACAAGCATAGGTTGCTATGTTATCTTCAAATATTCACTGTTAACTGTTATTTCAAGTAAATGTATAATATGTATGTGAATGAACTGTTCTTGAGTCTTAAAGTAGCTAGTTTAATACTACAAATAGTTTTATACAAAACTTGTGAAAAGCAAAAACCAGGAAAATGTATAAGATACGTGACTGTTGAGGGATTCCAGTATTTGAATTATTCCAGTACTTAAATATTTCTTTCATAATCCTCCTCCCTGGAATCAACAGTCATAGGGTTTTTTTTTTGTTGTTGTTATTTTTGTTTGATGTTATGGAGTTTCTCCTTGTTTTCTATAAAGTTGGAATACTCAAGTGAAGTTCAGTAGAATATATATATATATAGTTTATATTTTACTGTCATTGTTTTGTGTAATGATCCCAACACTAAAATACCGAATACCCAATGTATTCCCATGGGAGATATTGTTGAGACAAAGCTCAAACTACCTAATTACCAGTAATTTTCTATCAGGTAAATGTAGAAAAATGAGATGTTTGTGTTTCCCAAGAGCTCTGCTACCATTATCTATTTCTCTGGTGCATATTTAGAGGAGGTGATATCATCCTTAGATATCTTCTGATTTCTTTCCAAACTTACATCTCTCTCAGGTACTTCTCAGTCTCCAGGGATGACAAACATCCTCAAGCTACACTGTTTAAGCAGGACCCCGATTTTAACCTTATAACAAGAGCTTCCCTCCAGAGCATGTAGTCTCAATCCCACTCTCCACTAATACCAAATATTGAGTAGAAATATCTTGCCTCAAATTGGAAAATTTAAATTACCTCCAAACAGAATTGTATT